GGGAGGGGGCATTCCAAGGTTCTGGGGGAAAGGGGTTGAGCTTAACCTTGTTAATGCAGGGGTTGTCGGGAATCAGATGGGTAGGGAGATGAGGGTAAGGATGGGAGGGGTGGAGTAGGCAGGGGGTCCCTCCCTACCCTGGTTTAGTCATCTGAGATGGAAAGTCTGCTGAAAATGGGCAGGCGTCTTGAGTTGTCCAAGGTGGGGGAATCAGAGCCACTGTGGCTACTGCTGGAGCTGCTCAGATAGCCCTCCTGGTCCGAGAGCGAATCCTGAGGGCTGGGGGGAGAGTCAAACATGTGAGGGGACTCGGACATGGGCCGGAAGAGGAAGGTGGTTGGGGAGCCACCCCCAGGCAGCCCCATGCTAGGGGCAAAGAGGCTCGCCAGCTCCTGGCTGGAGAAGGCGAAGGGGTTATTGGTGCCATCTGGCAGGGTGGGTGAGCCCAGGAGGTCATCGGCGCTCAGGATGGGGGGTGGGGTGATGGACGTGGGGCTGTCCAGCAGCCCCGAGGCAGCGGCGGTGGCAGCGGCACTGGGAAACCCCGCAAAGCTAAAGCTATGCTGGAGGCGGGGACGGTCGGCGGAGAGGTCCCGGGCCCCGGCCAGGGCGCGGCGCTCCTCGGCGTTGTGGATGAAGTGGCAGCGGGGCCCATATGGGCAAAAGCCGATGGTGTGGAAGGTGCGGCACAGCTCCGTCTTGTACTTGGGGTGACGGGTCAGACTTCGGAGCTCGTGGATGCCATGCGCGAACTGGCACTTGTCCCCGTACTTACAGGCGCCGTTCTCCTCGAAGGGCCGGCACAGCTCCGTCTTGTAGCGGCTGGAGTTGACCTGGCCGCTCCCCGGCTGCTTCTGGGTGGGCAGCAGCCGCTCGCCCCCTTCGGAGAAAGAGCGGTCTCGGAAACGGCTGTCGCGAGAGCTCAGAGCTGGGGCCGGCTCGCCCTTGAGGCTGCTGAGGAGCTGGTTCTGGTGGAACTTGGAGCTGGGCAGGGTGACCGAGTGCCTCCGGGGGAAGCCCCCACCGGCAGGGGTGCCCACCGCCTTCCTGTCCAGCAGGCAGCCCCCTGCACTGGGAGTACTGTAGTTGAGCATCTTGTTACCCTGCAGGGAAGGGAGGGAAGAGAGAGCGTGGTTAGTGACAAAGGCCATCCACCAGGGCCAAGAAAGGGACCGCTAAGGGCAGCCCCTCCACAAGCAGAAATGCCCCTTGTGTCTCTAAGGAACCATCTCTAACTCTATCCTGGCAAGCCCCTCCCACTCTTCCCCCTACGACCAGTCACCTAGCTTTACTTTGGCCCCCTACAGAAGAAACCACAAAATCCCCACCGGTATGAAATTGTTATACATGCACCCTACTCCCTGCACACCCCTGGACTGTGCCCCCATATCCTGTCCCCGAAAGTACCTTGTTCATCCACAAAATCTAACTTCTTTACCTCCCAAATAGATTCCTCAGCTCAAAATATCTCACACAACTCAAGACTTCTCCAGATTCCCCTTCCGCCTAACAAAACCAGGTAAACCTCAGGAGACTATGAGTACCTCCTTTTTAATCAGTCCCTCCTTCATTAACAACACACACACACACACACACACACACACACACACACACACAACCTGGCCTAAGACTCTCCACTTCCTCCTTCAGAAGTGTTCCCTTCCTTTGGCAACAGGTTTCCAGACTGCCTTTGCTTTATCTTGCTGAGGGGTGGGGGAGAGGAAGGGGGCAGGAGAAGTCCTAGGTCAGGGGTGGGGGTCAGGGCCAGGAGAAGGAAGGATGGGATTCCTAAAAACAAAATGCATTATTGCCCCATGCTTGGGGAAGGGGTGCCTTCTACAATGATCTCCCCACCATTCTCAGCCTACCCCACCCCCTCCACTGGGAAGATGCCTTTGCTGTTAGTCTTCTGGCTGCAAGGGCAGGCTTGGATAAGAGCGCCAGTGTTTAATCTTTAACGCAAAGCTGCAGGTGGGAAGGAAAAGGAAGGCACCAAATCCCCCCACCCGCCTCCTAGTCAATAGTGGATTTGTGGGGAGGGAAGCAGAGCCACCACAAACAGGTTTCTGTTCCAATGGGCCCCTGGTCACCTGCCCAATCTGTACCCAAGGTGTGGAAAGCCGGGGACCTGGGAGTTGGCTCCCAGCCCATGTGGGTGTCATTGTGCAAATTCTAAAGTTGGTCCCTTAGGATCAGCTGCAGGGGATCGGGAATCTGTAACAGCAACCACCCCACGGAGCGGATTACAGGAACCAAGTTGAGAGCCGGTTCCCAACAATAAGGTTCATTTAAAAAGTCCTGCGGGGGAGGGGGGCTGTGCAGAGGGCGAGAAAAAGAGAAATAGATCAAAGAGCGAGAAAGCCAGGAAGAGAAGGAAAAGTGCAGGAGAGCTCAGGGAGCCGCCAGGGCAACAGGAGTCTGGGAAGGCGCAAGGAGGGAAGGAAGCTGAAATTCAAACTTTTTTTGATGTTGCTCTTATGCTCCTCGGCCTCCTTGCACCCCAGCCCTGCAGCCCTGGGGCCCTGGAAGCTGGGCCGACTGGAGAAGCAAGCTGAGAAAAGAAAGCGACATGACCCGACGTGTTTAAAAGAAGGCAAAACACTTTAGCAATTAAAAGTAGCCTAGCAGCTCCCTGCTTTCAAACTGGGGAGAGGGGGCGAAAATAATTCAACATCCATTGGCTTTTGCTATGTACACCTAAACCGCACTCCTGGAACATTCGGTGTTTAAAACCTGCTTTTTTTCCACACCGGCTGGCAAGCTACACCACTTAAGGAGGCCCCATTAAATCCTTCCTCGCAGAGCCCCTTGAGCTCAGGCCGGCATTTTGTTGTCGAGTCCCCCCACCCCCTCGGAAAACAGGTAAGGGGTTCAACCCTAGTCCCATTTTCACCCCAATGTTTGCAGCACTGTAGGCTATCACAGAAGAAAGCCCCACTGCAAACCCGTTTTGCAACATCCTTTTGAATCACAACTCTTGGCCTTTTTCTCGCAGATTCCCAGCCCTTCCACATCAGAGGAGGAAATCTCCCAGCAAAGCGTCCTCCCGAGACTCAACTTCCCCAAGGGGCGCCCCTGCTGACCCCACAGGCTGGCGGTGTGGTTGGAGAGACTCGAACCCCTCCCGGCGTTGGCGAGACCCGGAGCGCGCACCGGGCAACCCTAGCAGATCAGCGAAACCGGGCTCAAGCAGCACATTAGGGACGACAGAACTACCGCAAAACTGCCCCAGTCCGCCAATGCCCCGCGTCCCCGGGCAGCCCCGCCACTCAAACTTCGCCCCCCAAAACTCTGGTCTCCAAATTCCTATGCAGTCGCCGCGAGGACCTGTTGAAACTCAGGGTGGAGAGCGCCAAATTCCTTTAAACTGGGGGGGAAATGAGGCAGAAAAAAGACCCATATCGCCTCGCCTCCTCTCCTCCCTGCTTCCCAAGACCTGAACTTTTGGGGGTTCTTTCTTTAGGCAAAAAAGGAAAAAGGAAACTTTGAGAAGCAAACCCTCCGCCCCACTTTACCTTGCATAAAACTTCGCTCAAGTCGAAGATGGTGGCAGACACGAGGGTGGTGGTCATCCTGGGCGCTCGCACGGGGCAGGGACGGGGATCTGGTGTGTCGCGAAGGTCTCGATGCGGGGAAGGCGCAGCCTCCGGCTCTCCGGTCTGGAGTCCCACACGCCTGCTCCCGGCGCCCCTCGCCTTTCTGACTCTCCTCGGCCGCAGCGCGCGAAGCCCAATTTATAAAGTTCAGATTTGGTGGGCCGGGGGAGGAGGAGCTTTAAACTTATTTAAATGAGGAAGAGGAGGGAAAAAAAGTTGATTGACACTGAAGTTGAATCAGCCATGCGGTCAAACTCGGAGGAAAAAAAAAGAAACTTTCAAAAGGAAGAAGGGGGAGGGGAAACGAGGAAAGAAGCCGAAGAAGAAGAAAAAAAAAACCAACTGAGAGCAGCGCACAACTTTTTTTTCTTAAAGAGGAAAAGTTTCGAGTCCGCGCGCTCGGCTACCCGGCGCTTGGGGCGCCTCTCTCTGGGGCCGAGCGGCGCGAGGGGGAGGGGCGCGCCCCCCCTTTGTCAGGCTGCGAGCGCGGCTCTGTGACATCATTCATTCCTCCCTCTTCGGGGTTCTTGTTGTTGTGTTGTTGTTTTTTTGTCGGGCAGGAAGGCGGGCTCGACTTTCTCTTTTTGCAAGCGGGAGCAGAAGCCCGTCCTTAGCGCCCGGGCTGCGGTTTCCATCTTGAGCAGATCTCCCCTGAAACTTCTCCAAGTGCCCCCCACAACTTAACTCTTTTCCCGAGTTCTCGTCCTCATTCGGCTGCCTTCCGCAACCGGGCAGGGCCAAGAGATCGGGAATTTGGGACGCACAAAGCATTCAGGTCTAGGGGTTTCGGGTTTTTGTTTTGTTTTTTTTTTCAGCAGGACGTGGCGGACGTAGAGTGGTGGGGGAAACTCCAGGGAGACTTTTTCTCCGGGGAGGACCCGGCCCGGCGGGGCGAGCGCAGCACGATTTCGCGCGCCGCACGCGCCTACACTCTCCTGCGCTTTGCAGCCGGACGGGGGGGGGGGGGGGGCGCGAAAAAGACCACCGCCCGGCCCGATTGCTTGTTCGTTTAACAGGCCTGGGAGTGGGATTTATTTCACGCGTCCCACCTTAAAGTTTTTCATAAAGAAAACCCGAACCCTCATGAATGCCCTTTCCAGTCCGCCCCCCCACCAATTAAAAAAAAAAAATCATTAACGCACAACTTTCCACGCGCGCTCTGAACTAGGGGGCACACACACATACACACACACACACACACCCCTAGATGCTTGAACAATGAAAAAAAAATTACTTTGGCAAGAATGAAGGTAAAGAAATGGGGGAGGCGACACTTTTAACTTATTGTTGCTTCTCCCCCGCCCCCACGGGAACGGAACATATGGCTTGTCACGCTGCGCTGTTTGGGCGGGATGGGGGAGAAGGGTACGGGACCCTCGAAACCGAAAGCACCCCCCAATAGATTACTTCTTTTAAGAGTGTTATATATTTACTGTTAGGTTCGGATGCCTCTCCATCCACCCAAATAAAAAATTGTTAACGTGTCGCCCACGGCCCCCCGGGTGCTGGAGCGAAGACCCAGGCGGAAATCGCGGGCTGTGTTTCTTTCCTATTTCCCCGCGTGCCTGGCCGCCTCCTCGGCCCTCGCACGTTCCTTCCCAGCACTCGAGGCCGCCGGGTCTGTTATGAAACCCCGAGCGCTGAGTGGCTAAGAGCGGGTTCCATTGCGATGTAATTAGGTCACCCCATTATGAGCACGTTTCTTTGGAAAGGACAGGGCGGGCGGAGCAGAGCGCTCCAGTCGCGCTCTCACCACCACCACCCACCCACCCACACACACACGCATTTTTATTACATTTCTGATGTATTCGTCAACCTCCGAGCAGACCCAGGGAAAACTTACAAATCACAACGAAAGGAACCGGTTGTTTTTCATCTTTGCGAAACACACAACTTTTGCTGCAGCCACGAATCTACGTGATCTCAGCCCGGTCTGCTTTTATTTGGCCCCTCAGACTTAAAATGATGGCCCCCGTTTTTAACCCAGCTGCTGCCCCTTGCCTTTCCTTCTGCTGCCGTCTAGCCTCCTGTTGCTTCCCTCCCCCTGCTCCCATTTTTCAGCTTTTCTTGAAATCTGGCAAGCGCCAGAAAGGGAAATAACTTCCATCCACCTTAATTTAAATCATACAAGTGTAGGTTTCTTTCTTAAAGGGGTGTCTGCTCGCTCCTTTCCCCAGCTCCAAGAAGCGGGGGGGCGGCTCGTGCAGTTTCTTGGTGATGAGGTAATGAGTTCCAGATTTCAGGACAGAGCAGGCTGCGCGTTAAAACCACAAGGTTAGTCTGCGTCCTGATGTGAAGCTATTTCTTTTTATCTCCCTCCCCCTCCACCACCAGAAAAGGCCCATTGGTCTTTAACTCTGGAGGGTTCGCGAAGCTCTGCTGGGGAGACGGAGGTGGGGTGGAGAAGCGAGGGAGAAGGGGCCCCCAAGCGGGTGGGGCCGCCTTCTCGGCCCCAGGCCCGGCCCGCACCCGCTGTCCCCCCGCGGTTGCAGGACCGGCCAGAAGTACCGTCACGCGGCCCCGGCGCCGCAGGCTAGCTAAAAAGGCTTTTTTTCTTTTTTTCTTTTTCTCCCCCCCCCCCAAAGAGAATGCCGATTCCTCGAATTTCCTCCGCTTTTCCAACTCCCGGCCGCCGCTCCCCTCCCCCGCTCCCGGGGCGCGGGCTCCGCGGGGCGGCGGCCTGGCCCGCTCGCTCCGGAGTTGTTTACCGGCCCCGCCGACCCACCGAGTTTGTTCCAGCTCTGAGAGCCTGTCTCTATAATTAAACTCTTTTTTAATTGTCGGGTTGAAACGTCATTTCAGGGACTTTCCAAGGGTGAGGGAGCCGGGCGGAGGGAGCGAGCCTCCTTAACCCTTCGCTGACCCGGCGGGCCGGGGAGCCGCGTCCAGCCGGGCCGAGGAGGGCTAGGAGTCCGGGGGCCCGAGCCGGCGCGCCTCGGCCGGACGTGCTCTGCAGGTGCCCGAAGGCGGCGGGGATGGCCTCGAGCCCCGACCGCGGCAGGAAGCCGGGCAAAAGCCGTGCGCCGCCCTCCCCGCCTCCTTCGCCAAGCGGTCGGCGCTCGGGTTCCTAACTCGCGCCGGGTCGGGAGAAGCCGCCCCTTCACCTGCACTGCCGCTTCCGACCCGGAGGCGATCGGCCGGGTCCCCCGTCCAAGGCCCGACTTCGGCCCTCGCTGCTCCCTTGGAGCCGATACCCTCTCGAGGAGGGGCTAACCAGGTATTTTTGGCTTGGGGGTGTTAGGTTTTGTTCAAGGAGGAAAGTGAAAGTCCTCGGAATTAAGGAAGCGCGACGGGCATATTCATGAGCCAATCTGGACCGTGGGCGCACCTCGCAGCAGGTGAGAGACTGGGGCGCCGGGCCCCTAGTCGGCGCGGCCTTGATCACCGTCACCAGCACCCTCCAAGGCACCCCTCCCTGGGATCCCCTCCTGGCCCTGGTTGCAACACAGGACCTGCCATCCCAGAGCCCTTTGGCTTCAGGTCATTTGCATAAACCCCCAAATTCTTCGGATTGGGTCTCGCCCTGCCCCGCACCCCCCAAATTCTTCTACCTGAGACCCTGGGACAGCTGCAAGGTGTCTGGATTAGAGAGAGAGGGAGGTAGGGCCAAGTGCGGCCTGAGAGTTACCTGGCTTAGAGTTTACCTGCAGTGCCCCTGGAATGCATATTCCTCTGCTCGGACCCGGGCCCAGTGAATCAGATGCTTTGAGGTGGGGTCAGGAATCTGCATTTTTAGTAATTTCCTGCTAGTGACTCAGATGTTAGGGGTTTGGGAATCAGTGGTCCAAGACTTTGAAGTTGGGCCATCTGGATCCAAATCTTGGCTCTGCCATTTTCAAGACCCTGACCAAAGCCTCTGTTTTCTCATCTCTAGAATATGGATAATAATACTGCCTAAAACTGGCGGATAAAGTGCTTAGTTTCAAGCCCAGCAGAAACCTTTTATCTGCCTAGCCATTGTATGTAAACTAAACCATTCTTGGGGGCCTTATTACACCACAAAACACCTTTGGGGGAGTATTCACTTTGCAAAAGGATTCTTCAGTATAAACATCCATGAAATGGTCAGCTGACCACTGCTTCACCTCCTCCTTTCTTGCCTGGGCCTGCCTAGGGACACAAGAAAGCTGATGAGTTTTGAGCCACCTAAACTTTGATGGGAAGCCCAATTCTGCGAGTCACCAGTTGCACAACCTCGAGCAGGTCCCTTAGCCTCTGGGATGGTGGGGAAGGTTAAACTCTTCCAGCCAGTGCTTAGCTCAGACAGCCCCTTGCCCTGCAGTCACTCCAAACTGCTCGCAGTTGCTGGTGGTTGCTGCACACCCCTCCCTGGGGCTTTGCTCAAGAGGTTCCTCTGCTGGGATTTCAGGCAGCTCCCTGAGCAAGCAAACCGCCTCTCTCCCCGCCCTGCCACTGCGGCCTACAGCGCTCCAGCCTTCGGCTGCATTTTCTGGGAATTATCTGTTTATTCCCACTGGACTAGAAACTCCTTGAGGATGAGGGCAGCTCTATTACCTGGGCCTCAGGAGTAGGTCCTGAGTAGGTACACGATACATAATACATTTTTTCAGTCATTACTGACCCTTGCCGTTGAAACCACTCGGACATGTTGGTTACCCTACATTTGGCATTGGGAGTAGAAGGATCACAGAGGTTCCAGCAGTGGCAGAAAGGGAGGGCTTGGGCTCTGCCACGAGGGGAGATGGCAGTCTTAGCCCTGGGAGGCTCAGAAGGCCAGAGCTGGTCATTCAGGGAGGCTGGGCTTCCGCAGCTTGCCCAGGGCATGTTCTGTGCAGCTGTTAAGAGGTGACAGAGTCTAATGGAATGAGCACTGGTCTAGGAGTCAGGACTCTGGATTCTAGAGCTCCTTTGCTTCTAGTGCAGTAGGTCATTCTCTACTCTGGGCTTCCCTGTTCTGCTCTGTAGATGGAGAGCACTGGGCTGGACAGGTGGTGCTCTACCATCACCCGGAGCAGAATTATCTGGGGAGCTTTTAAAACTGTACAGATGCCCTGTCCCACCCCATCCCACCCCACCTCCAAATATTCCACTTCAGTTGGTCTGGGGTGAGGCCCAGCATCTGTGTCTTCAAAGGTCCCCAGATGATTCTATTATGAAGCCAGAAACACTGGATTTGTTTATTTTAGAGCAGTAGTTCTCAACCAGGCATGATTTCACCCCCCAGTAAACATTTGGCAGTGTCTAGATACACTTTTGGTTGTCACTGTTGGGGGAAGGAAGGTCAATGCTAGTGGCATCTAAAAAGTAGAGTTCAGATAGCCTGCTAAACAACCACACAGCAGCCCCCACAACAAAATGTATCTGGCCCAAAATGTGAATAGTACCCAAACTGGGAAACCCAGTTGTAGAGGTTCTTTCCAACTCCAAGATTCCTGTGTACTTACTTAGGCTCTATCCCCACTCTCCCTCAAACCCCTCTCCTTAGGGCAGCCCAGTGATCTTTTTCAAAACCTAGATCTGCTCTGTTGTTACACTTGCCTAAAACCCTTGGCTGCCCATCCTTTTAGAATAAAACCATAGCCTCAGTCCAGCAGAATCTGACTCTCTTACTGTTCCAGCCCGGGCTTTCATACCCCTCCCTCCCCATCACCACCTCTCCCACCCCCCAGGGCATTCCCTGTGCTCTGGTCAGTTTCAGATGAAAATGAACAATACTTCCTTCTGCCCCAGGGCCTTGGCACTTGCTATTTCTTCTATCTGAATTGACCTTCCTTTGGCCCAAGTAAGTTGTAAATCATCCTTTAGAATCCAGCTCCAGCATCACTTCCTCAACCATTCTTGGAGTCCGCCTCCCCTCAACAAGGCAAGGTATCTATCTTCTCTCTTATGTCCTCATGGCATGTTCATTTCCTTCAGAGTAGTTATTTCAGTTTATGAGTATATATTCGTTCCTGTAACATTTTTTTTTACTTTTTAATTTAATACAGAAAAATTGAACTATATTTGGTGTACAGACTTTTAACATCAATAGATTGATGTAACCACCACCATGATCAGGAAACAGAACAGCTCATTACTCCCAAAATATCTCTCATGCTACCCCCTTGTAGTCATGCCCTTCCCCATCCTTTAGTCTGCTACCACTGATCTGTTCTCTATACTGTCATTTCCTCTTTCCCAGAATGCCATATAAGTAGAATCGCATAGTATGTATGATTTCACACAACATAATGCCTTCCAGATTTATCCGTGTTGCCCCATGTATCAGTAGTTCATTCCATTTCATTGAAGACTACTGTTTCACTATATGGGTACACCATTGTTTATCCATTCATCTGTTGAAGGACACTGGATTATTTTCAGTTTGGGGCCATTATGAATAGAGCTGCAGTAAACATTTGTGTACAGATTTCTGTGTGAACACCGTGCCTGTTTCTCTAGGGTAAGTAAGTAGGAGTGGGACTGCTGGGCCAAATGGTAAGTGTATGTGGAAGTTCATAAGCAATTGCCAAACTGTTTCCCAGAGTGCATCCCACATCATGCATCTCCAACAGCAATATGTGAGAGTTTCTGATTGCTCTACATCACTTAACCTCACCATCACTTAAAATTGTCAGTATTTTTTATTTTAGTCATTCCAGTAGGTTGCATAGTGGTATTAATTTGCCTTTCATTCATGACTAATGATGTTAAACATCTTTCATGTGCTTATTTGCCATCCGTATGTCCTCTTTGGTAAAGTATCTGTTCAAGTCTTTTGCCCATTTTTTAACTGGGTCGTTTGTTTTCTTACTGTTGAGTTTTGAGAGTTCTTTATATAATCTGGCTCCAGTTGCTTTGTGGGATATGTAATTTGCAAATATTTTCTTCAGTCTGCACCTTATCTTTTCATTCTCTGAAAGAAAATATCTTTCAGAGAGCAGAAGTTTTTCATTTTGATGTTTAGTTTTTCAGTTTTATCTTTTGTGGATGATGCTTTTAGTGGCCCATCCAAGACTCTTTGCCTGACCCTATGTCATTAAGATTCCATCTTCTTCTAAAGTTCAATAGTTTTATGTTTTACACTTAGATCTATGATCTATTTGGAGTTAGTTTTTATATACGATGGGAAATTTAGATTGAGGTTTGCTTTTTTGCCTGTGCGTGTCCAATCCCAGCACTGTTTATTAAAAGACTATCATTTCTCCATTGAATTGTTCGTGCCTGTCCAAAAATCAGTTTGCCATAGTTATATGGGTCTCTTGATTCTGTTCCTTTGATCTGTGTGTTCACTCCTTTGCCAATGTTACAGTGTCTTGATTATTGTAGCTTTATGTTAAGTCCTAAAATCAGGTGGTGTAATTCCTCCAACTTTATTCTTATTTTTCAAAACTGTTTTACCTATTCTAGTTACTTTGCCTTTTCATATAAATTTCAGAATCAGGGGCACCTGGGTGGCTCAGTCGGTTAAGTGTCTGCCTTCAGCTCAGGTCATGATCCCAGGATTCCAGGATCGAGCCCCGCATCGGGCTCCCCACTCAGCAGGGAGTCTGCTTCTCTCTCTCCCTCTGCCTGCCACTCTGCCTACTTGTGCTCTCTCTCTCTCTGTCAAATAAATAAATAAAATCTTTAAAAAAAAAATCAGAATCAGCTTGTCTGTATCTACAAAAAAATATACTGGGAATTTTATTAGAATTGCATTACATCTACAGATCAATTCAGGAAAAATGACATCTTTGCTGTATAGAGTCTTCTAATCCACATACATGGTATGTCTATTTATTGAGGTCTTTGATACCTTTAATTGGTGTTCTGTAGTTTTTAGCATATAAATCCTATACA